GTTCCAGCCGGTGTATTCCATCAGAGCTCTGTGTCGCGTGTGTGTCGCTCGTGGTGCGAAGCTCCTGCCTCGTTCGCAGTGCGTGCGTCGGTGCACGTTGCTCTACGGTGTAGATGGTGTCGCCCGCTTGTTCGCTACTCTTTGTTGAGCTTATTATTTGCCCTATACGCCAGTTAAATCATAATCCAGGAAGTAGAGTATTTTCTTACTCGGCCCGGTAAATCAATAAGATCACTGCCATTATTATTGTGTCAATTTAAAGTAAAAATGCTTGATGGATACACTGGGCAAGGAAAAATTTAAATAATGTGAACGACTTAATTTTCGGAAGGACCCAAGTTTCTCGAATTTCGCGAATCGCCCACAATCCGCAAAAAATAGGTCCGGCGAACATCTCCCGAAAAATTTAAGCACATTGGAATCTATATTGAGGTCTCACCGCGTCGCGAAAATTAGAACCCGCGAATTATTCCAAAACTTCAGCTATGGCCTAAATCGCGAACTATTGAACCCGCGAAAAATGAGTCGTTTAAAGTACCCACTTTCCTTTAAAGCCTGCGGTAAACCAACTGCGGCGGTGTAAGTACTATCAAGATAAGGTGGACTTTCTGTTCCAAAAGTACCGACATTCCTTGGAGAGCCGAATCGTTCTTTAGATTTTTCAGGTTTTGCATGTTTCAGAATGCATACGGCGGCGCAGAACGGTAGAGCGAACCTAAACAGGCCATTTCGTTAAAGTGTTCATGCTACGACATGCACGTTTTTTGTCACCATTCATTGCCCTAAGCAGGGAGCGACTTTTGATTGACTGCGTTCAATACGGCATAGTTCGCAAGATTTTTACAGCGAATGGTATTAGCAGGAACCTCCCCTGGGGTGCTATTCTGTTCGCAAACGGGTACCTTTCGAGTTGTGACGTATCGAGAAAGAAGGGGCGGAGCCTCAAACTAGAACGATTCTTGTTTGAGGCCCCGCCCCAACGTTCGGGTTCACGCACGCGGTCAGCTAGAATCTGACGATGCACTACGTCGCGGTGACGTGTCCACCCAGTTGGGGCGAAGAAATCCCTGCATTTCCCCCTGTTCTTTTTGTTATCTTCTTCCTTTCCTCCGGAACTTAGAACCAGCGAATAACGGAGAAAAGGCTACCTTCCGGAAAATGGAAGGAAACAGAGAAAAATAATATTATCTTTTTATAAAATACGAAAGATTATTACAATAATTATGACGTAAAGTAAATTTAGCTAAGATATCTCAGCTTTTTTTCTCGAAGTCTTTCGCTACGGTCTTTGAAAACAAACATGGCGAAAACCGCGGTAACGACCTTGTGGTGTTTGTGTCTCGTTTGCGTCGTTGCTTTCCCTGCTTCTGCACGATACGGATGGCATTACGAGAAAAAAAATATTACGTGAAGGTGCGCTACGACACCAATCATCCTTTGTGAAGCCGCCGTGAACATAAGCTGCAAATGAAATTTCTGTTTGCCAGTGAAGAAGATTTCAAATGGATACAGAGCTGACGACGACTCTGTGGTAGTATATGACAAGTCATGAGATCGACGCAGAGTGCAACGGTTGTGAGCATTGTGTGGATGATGCAGGAAAGTTTCTTCGGGCAGTTTTAATAATGCTTTGCTCCTTTGCTCACTGCAGTGATTATGCCGGTATAGTCTCCATAAGCCATGCTCTTCTCTTTCGGCGCTGAAAAAATGCACGTGACGGCATAATCTCGGGCAGTCTTTTTTACTTATTTTTATTTGCAGAATAGCGCGTGCAAAAAAAAAAAACGGCTTTTACGTTTTTACACGTCCCTACATAGGTACCTCGCTTTCCCATTGGCTTCATTGCGCGTGACGATTCAACGCCATTTGCCATGGAAACGTTGGTGAAACTAGAAAGCCTCTGTTTGCCGCTAACAGTCATTTTTCGAGTTCGGGTTGTGACGACAAAATGACGTAAGAACAAGAATGCACGGGACTATTTGCATTGTTTTAACTCGACAACCGTGCCCTTGGCGAGTTAAACTCGAAAGAACATGGCCGCGATGCTCGTCGGATCGACCGCGGCTGGGGTTTGACATGCGATCGGTCACTTGATTAACGCGCACACGAATACTTTATTGCTGTTGGATGAGCCCATTCGGCGGCAGGACCGGGTCGAAAAGCACAGTGACCTGGCGTTTAACCTCTCCGATGTAACGCTTGGCGAGATGCAAGACTTGGCTTCTATTTGTGCCGGTGTTATGAAGCTTGAAAGTGGTGGTGTTGTTGTGGCTCGTACGGTAGCGTTGCTGAGGTTATGAAGACGGTAATAGACCTTTATTCAACGTTGCCATGCATTAAGATTCAAAACCTCACCTTGACACAAAGGGAACCACGTTTCCGCGAGCACGGAGGCAGCAGCCAACGGTCTGAGAAAGAATTTCGCCGCCGCCACGACCGCCAGCGATCGCCACAACGGCAAGAAACAAAACGACAATCTCATTGAGGTTTGTGAAGTGCTGACTACTGATTCATCGGACGACAAAGGTGAATGATGTAAAACGCAACGTAAGTTTGCCAGCGTTTTGCAAAACGAATTTGTTTCGTTGAAAATTTAATTTGTGGAATTCGTTAACGTCTTAAGAGTTTGACGGGGACTGCATTGTGAACGCAGGCTTCACACAAGTGTTTTCTACAGTGTGTGCTTTGACTGCATGCATATAAAGACAAAACCACTTCCTATATGATGCATAAAATAAAATAAATTTCGTTTATCTTGATAATGTTGACTATCTATTGAGTGCCGTTGATAGTAGCGGCGTAGCCAGGAACTCCTAAGGGGGTGAGGATGGAGGGGGGTTGAGGTGGCTGGGATGTTCATGACTTGGGGTGCGGGGGGGATGGTGTCGGAATTTGTGTGTATATTCTAGGGCCCGCCGGATTTGGGGAGGGAAGGAGCGAAGCCCCATAAACCCCCCCCCTCGCCCCCCCCCCCTCTGGCTTTGCCACATAAGGGGAGCATCTTACATTCACAGGCTGCTATAAGCATGTGCATAGCCACTGAGCTCGTACCACAATGGCAAGATAGTTGCTGACATTCTTCACGTTACGTAGCAGTTCTTTCTTTAGTACATATGCTCGATTTCCTTCACACATCTACTCTGCCTCCGCTTGTCGTTTATGCTTGATGGTGATAAGCCAACAGTGCGTATTTGCTCTGCATCACAGGCAAATTTCAAAAATCCAGCTAACACTACACTTTAATTTCAATGAGTTAGTCACTTTTGAAATGACATTCGATTTAATTGCTATAATAACCTTCACATTTAACACACGTGTGTTGAATGTAGGACAATTCGATTTTTATTGTTTTTCTTGGTCACGAAGGTGACAACCATCCACAAGACACTGGCTAAATTTCTCGTCTACAGTGGGTAACAATGTTGCCATACTCTGTCAGACTAAACTGCTGCTGTCTAGACAAGTAACGATTCATTTTAGGACAGACCTGTTCGTAGTTTATTCCAGTGCATCGAAAAGTGTTCTTATGACTTTCCGATGACTAACTTGCAATTCCAGCAGCTTGGCGTGAAAAGGTAAAATATCTAATTGATACAACAAAATGCCATCAGCAACCCATCCAGATTTTATTGCGTGATTGACAGTAGCTACAGACCGCAACAAATTGTCAACTGAAGACATAGGTACTAAGCGTGCCCTAACTTCAAAGCGGTAGAAACCCTGAAGTTTAAACGTCAACTTACCACCACGTTGTTAATGGCAAAATTGTGTTTGCGGCAAAGTGTTGGAGTCCTTCAGAATGGTGACGGTCTCCTTCAGACCGATGATGACGGTGACGAAGGTTTAGTTAGAGTCTAAGTTTAGTCAACGCACCCGACGACGTCGGTGTGCTTGTCATGGTGGCGACGAAAGCCTTCTTTCGCACATGCCTCAGCTGCCTCGGTCCGGGGTTTTGTCGACCCAACCGTCTCTTCCCAGCCGGTTGACAGCGATACTCACGACGGCCGTCACGGCTCTGATCACCATCCACTGGGCATTAGCTATGTGATCATCGGGAGCAACCGCGCCCTTGTAGCTCCCCGTTGCGAAAAATCTCAGTGCGATTCAGTTAGTCTGCTGCTGCTCGACGATCATCATCTCTCATCGTCGCCGTCTCTCGTCACGCAGCTGGTCACACTGCGATCACACGGTGCTTTTCGACAAGCGGTATTGTCGTCAGAAACAGTTGTCGTGCATCGCGAAGGCAACCGGGTGCTCGCGGAAAATCCGTCATTGTACGCGTTGGTCGAGCCATCGTTGAGCAACAAGCATCGACGCCATTTTCTACGCTCTAGAATCCTGCCCAAAGCTTGTTCCCCTACGTGCAATAGAAAGAGAGGTTAAAAGCACGAGCGCATCACCCCGAACGGTCTTGCACGAACGTTGGCTTGCACTGCGCTAGCGCGCCTGCTCGACAGGGACGTTGAAAGCCCGGAGCACGTTCTTGTAGCTCCTACACACGCACTAGCTCGCACTCATAGTGAAACAGAGAGTAGGGTGTGTCGCATAATACCGCAGTTAATCTAGTGACGCGACTTCCGCTATGTGCTACTTAGGTCGGACGTGGTCATACGTCACTTTGTCGTCACGGTCCGAACTCGAAGAGTGACAGTTACGGCAAACGGTTGCTTTCGTGTTTCGCGAACGTTCCCATGGGAACCGCGTAGAATTATCACGCGGGAAGTGGCCAATAGCAGCGCGCGGTTCGTAGGGGGGAGGAGTTTTCAAGAAACACGAACGTGACCGTTTGTGACCAGAATAGCGCCCCTGGTGAATAGCGTGGTCATCTCTCGTGAGAACTCCCGGTACCTTGAGCAGGCTCACCCAGTCAGCACTTGCGTCGAAGAGCAAGGAGCTCAGGCTGGAGGCCAGGCGTTATAAATTACGGTTTTTATAAATTTCACTTCTCTTACGCATGACAGACTAATCAAATTTTACATAATTGAAAAACGTCTACCCACCGTGCAATATTGACCCTCAGGGAACCAAGGTTGTGCAGACTTGCAGAAGTCCTCTTTCTCAAAATAGTGCACCGGTAAGTTGTTTGTTCTTGATACAATTGGTGTTGGAGTATCCATCCAGCACGGTTCGGTATCCCTGAAAATATACTCTAATTTATAAGAAAAACAACCTGAAGATAATCAATCAGAAAATAAAATAACGAACAATCATATTAAGTGCCTCAATATCATTTTGAGTTCAAAGGTTGCTGTCATATTGTGTTTTGTGATTTAGAGTTTCGTACCGCGGGATTTAATTCCCGAGGCACGGTATGCTCTGACATACTAATATAATACCCAACACGGAAAATAGACTCCATGTTGAAGTTAATGAAGCAACTCGTTTCCTTGCAGCATTTACATCATGTCAGATATGATTGATCGAGGTTTTGCCGGATGGAAAGGGAAGCTGAATTTTAGTGCCTTTTCGGATCTTGAAAGATTATGTGTTCTATTTAGTTTTGTTTTGATGCAAACAACTCCTCCATAATCTAAAGGAAAATTTATTAAATCTATATCTTGACCACTGACCGTTGTAACTAGCTATTGGAGTTTTACCTAAAGAAGAATATTATTTATGCTTATGGAAAAATCAATCAAGCAAATGCTCCCCCTGACTCAGCGAAGAAAAAACAATGCTAGACCAACCGCACGTTAAAGGGACACTGACACCCCCCAAAATTGTTTTGATTATATTTTTTGTCAGGCGATTTACTATGGTTTCAGAAGACTACCCAATCAGTCTTTTGCTACAGCGTCACGTATATTTTTTATAAAGTAAAAAAAACGCAACTGCTCGAAACCGAAACTAGACTGAGGATGAAGAAGAAATATAGAGGAGGAGAGAGGTGCCGGAAGTCACATGGCTGTGGTACTTTTTTTTCACAATCGACGTATTTGCAGCTTTTTAGAAGACACTAAACATGTGCATCAAATTTTTATTCTATTTTTAATATTGTGTGTGTGTTTTCGATTAACTACGACTTTGATTATTTTTGGCGGTTGTGTCTAAACCATAGAAAACGGCCCTTGACCACTGAGACGGCAGTGAGTGCCACTCAAACAGGCCAGTTCTGGATCGGCGCTTTTCGGGCGTCAAGAAAACAAATTCCGAGCCGCGAATTGTTTTCTGGATAGTTGGGCTATCATATGTCGTGAACGAATAAAACCCTTGGCGAGCATAAATACCCTCTCAGTGTCCCTTTAAGTGTTACACGTAGTCAGCCACACTGAAGCTGTCTCGACAAAGTTGTGCTTTGTGGAAATCTTCACGGCAAGTACCGCATTCTGCATCTAGGTCCCCTCCATGCCCTACCTTATTCCACCATTCTCAGAAAAAGATGACTCAAGTAAAGAGGGATCAATGTAACTTTCTGTAAAAAATTCATTAATTCATTCGTTTGATTCATGTTCTCACAGACGCATGTACATTTGCAAGTATACGCACCATTTTTCAATGACACATCACATTTTGTCTATTATGAATCCAAATACTACTGTCTTCCATTAATTTCACTCTTAGCCTAAGGGTCCGTGTTTACATGGCTTGTTAGAACCATAGTAGCAACAATTTACAAGGGGTTAAGGTTATTTATTAAATTATACTTTTTTTTTTAACCTTTGGCGCAATTATCTCAGAGTCAAAGGTCCACCAACTTTTCTCTACTCTATCGTTTCCTCTGCGCGCCAAGAAAGCACTAATAAAGCTAGGATAGGGTTAATTTCAACCTGGAAGACGCTTACATATAAAAACAGAGATATATTTAACCTTACTTTGTAGTCCAATGACACATCTGTCCCTTTTTCAATCTATGTTTTTTCGCTCTTTCGATTCCTAAGCTCGCCTTATCCAGGTACCACGCACAAACTAGCTCAACTGAAGCTCGTCACCAATAAAGCAGTTCCTTCAGGCCCATTTATCCTGCAACACTCGACTATACTTTTTGAAGTGCTGTTTGTGATTTAATAAATTGATTCTTTAATTAATATACAACGCTCTATTTCGCTCCATTCTAACTAGGGTTTTGAGTTTTCGGTATGGATTTTGACTGAGATCCGGAGTTTATCTATCGGTGTTTATTTCCCCCTGTAATCGGTGGTTTCGCTGTTCAACCTCAATGGCGGAAGAAATCATTGTTTATAGAGTTTGTGTTATAAAGCGATTGTATAATTAATGGAGAAAATATAATGATATATAAGTTATAAATTCTAATTTTTTTCCGGTATTGCTGAAAAAAAGAAGGAAACGTGGCAAGAAAAGTTGTCGTAATGGAAAGGAATAACCGCAAGGACAGTTGAGTGCGGCTGTGTTCGGGGACAAGGAGAGAAAAAAAGTAGGGTAGAACATTTCTTCCCGTGTAGCTGGCGTTCTTTTTATTTTGTCTCAGAGGACATTACGAATTCGGTATTTTTCAGTTTTCACCGATGCAGTAAAAACCGTTTCGAATGGTTAATTTTCGATGATAATGAGTATATACCGAAACCGCGGAAACCTAATTGAAATAACAGTTGGGAATACCGGAACAATAATATTTCTGAAATCGTCAGAAATCCGGCGCCAAATTGGAAACTGTCGGGACACATTCCAGGACAACTTACTCAGCTTTGAATACGCACAATGTGATTTTATTAGCATTAACTTATTTAGGGTGCTTTTTTATCTCAAAACCACATATTTTATTCTGCTTTCAATATAATTATAATAAAGATTTCACGTGTCAGTTTGCTTTTATGCAGTGTATTTATTCTCTTTACATATTCTTCAAGTTTGAGAACAATTGATACACTCCTACCGAAACAATGGGCCAAAAGGTAAAACGTGTAGACTGGTATTAAATCGGAGTCATAAACACCATTTCGAGGTCACGGTGATTGCATTCACAGTATGTCAGGGTTTATTTAGTTTTTCTTTTGCTGGACCGTCCAACTTCTCTGCAATATAATTTATGATCTCTAACTGCGCTCACTCTTTGCCGATAGAAACATATTATCAACCTGCGAAAGGCTAGTGTGTAGAGGCGTTTCAGTTAAATAACGCAGAATTCAGTATGAACTCATTACCTTCGGTAATTTTTAGGGATACTTAACATAAATTTGGAACAAATTACGATTACAAACTTGATGAAAACCGCATGGAAATTACTTGTTAGATGTATACAAATACCTGACACTATTATCGAGATTTCTTTTTTTTTAAATCGTGTAATGCCGGGGAAGTTTCAGCTCTTATTATAACTTATAGCGTAGTTAAACGACTAGGACATACTTACGAATATACACTCTGAAAGTGTGAGGTTGCAGCGGATTCGCTGCACTTAAAGAGTTTCGTCGATAATAGCAGATAAAACAAAGATTACGAACTCGATGACTTCGCTCTTTTTATAGAATTTTAGTGACCCTATTTGCTCGTAGCTTCGTCTGCGCTTTGACTCAAGGTGAAACAAAGTATTAGTGACAAAGTTTTATGTGTGTAAAGTTCTGTCACTAAACAGAGTCAGTGTTTTATGGAATTGAAAGACTATTTTTAAAACGACAAAGTACGCAGAAGATTTTTGTTCAAATAGTGAATTTAAATATATTGTTTATTGTTCGTTAATGCACTTTTTATGTAAATAGCGCGAAAAAGCGCCAATTCGTTTTCGGTGCTGCTTGTGTTGCGTAGTACGCGTCTACCTCCTTGTCTCCCAATGTATTATGCGCTGTGTAGTCATCATATTTTGGTCCTTGAAATTATTACACATTTTTTTTTGGCTAGGTTTTAAGTTTAACAGATGTTTTCTTCTGTGGAAATTCGAATTTTACAATGCAGCTTTGGCATGCAGGGACTTAGTCCGTAAAGTACTCGGGTCCAATTTCCAAACCACGCACAGTTTTGCGGCTGATTAACACGAGCCCAATTATACGAATACAACGATATCGAATTGAGTTTCCATTCCCTCATTTGTCTCATAGTTTTTTAGAGGTTTGACATTCTAATTGCCATTACTTCCCAAAAACCTTTATGTTAAGGGATGCCTACTTAGCTTCGTAGCTTTCATTATGCAAGTTCCTTCTCTTGTGTCTACTTTTACTCGGCCGTTAAAGCTTCTAAGCCTGCAAAATATTGCCCAATATGTTTTCATCATGATTTGCATTGTGGTTTTGGACCGAACCTTGTTCTTTAACGTGAAGTATTAAGTAAATAAGCTAAAATGTCATGCATTTTTACCAACACTCCGGTTGATATTTCACTACACTATGCATAAAGTGCCAGCAACGCAGGTGGGTTAAAACAAACTTCTTACAGATTTTCTTGGTACTTCTGGAGAAGATAGTCTTTTGTGCAGTTCGAAAGCGTGGGGTACAGGGTAATAAAAGAGCTGATGCTCATGAGGTGTCCCCCTTTGCCGAGACAGCTAGGTGCTTGGTAACCTTCATCCCAGGGTGTGCCTAGACTGAAAATAGATGACATTTTTAAAGAAAACTCGGCTTTACATCCATATTGGACGAAAAGTCAAGTTGATTCATTTCGCTTAGAAAAGGGGCAGACACTTCCGTGCCAACAATTACTGCTGCCGATCGGCATTTTTTATTATGAGATTGGTGGTTGAAATTCGCAGATCACGTGATGACTAGCGCTGTAGTCGTTTTAAGATTGATTTTTGGTGGCTTCTCGTGCTCGTTAATGTTTCTAGTGTTTTAACTCGTGTCAGCGGTTTCTTGAGGCTCGTAATGCTCGAGTCCGACTAGAGCGAAAAACATAAACAAATTACAGCGTAAAGCCTCAAATCAGAGTCTCTCGTGAGTTCATAGGCTTTGTCGAATAAAGGAGGCTATGTTTAAACACGAGCATCGTGTGCACAAGTGTGTCATTGGCAAGCTTGCAATCACTCGAGCTTAATTCACAAGCAACGAATGACTAAACGACTGCCAAAGGTACTATAGCGAGCATACTGCATATGTTTCAGCCTTCCCGTTGTTGTTTGCTTATGTTTGTCGCTCTAGTGGGACTCGGGCATTAGTTTTCTTCTCTCGCGTCTGGGGCTTTGAGTCGTTCGACAATCAGTGAGCACGCATGCCGACCTGCTGCGCTCCCTGCTGTCACAGCGGGTACGATCACAAGCGTCGAAAATTGTGGAGAAGAGCCACAATTTCTTCCGATCCGAAGGATGCTGTGCGTTCGATAATAATGCACAACGCAATTCCTCAGGCAAAGTATATTCTTAGATCAGAATTGTTGCAGCTCTGTCCATTCGACAAACGCGAAAAAATACGGTAGCTTTACAGGAACATCGCTTGTGAGCACAGTTAGGAAAGAAAATGGTATGGTGATGAAATGGTTGTAATATGCCCTAAACACACCGAGGATAACCTGAAGGACGAGGTTCTAGTGGACGACGTAAAAAACAACGTCTAAGACTCCCTCCACGACGATCTCCAGGAAGACCTCAAAGACGACGCTTTAAAATTCAACGTCTAGCAAGACATCTAGGACGACCTCTAAGGTGATTGCCATGACAACCTCTAGGACGACGTTGTGAAGTACCCCGTACGAAAATGTAATAGAGTGCCCTGATATATTTTATATATGGCCCTATATGATAATATAAGGAGGCAAATAGGGCTATATACCGCCATATAAATTGGTAAATACGGCTAGATATCGCCATATAAGTTGGCAAATACTGCCACATATGGCCAAATAAGTGCGTAAGTACAGCCATATATCGCCACATACGCGCGCAAACACAGTCTTGAGTAGTAACGCGTTGCTGGTAAGGCGTTACTGCAACTTTGTTATTTTTTTTGGTAACCTGTAACTGTATTAAGTTACTTTTTAAGAATGTAACTTGTAACTGTACTTCTATTACTTTGTCTGAGGTAACGACGAAAGTACCGATGTTACTTCTGTCGTTACTTTTCAGCTCTTTGTGAATAATATGTCATTGAATGAGTATAATCTAGCTAATCCCTGCACTTTGCAAATTGTCTGTTTTGACATTTCGAGTATCAGTTGGCCTTGCACGAACTTGAGAATACATCCTTTCTCGTGAGTCACTATCCAAATATAACCACGTGTAGATTTGATGAAAAAAAATAAGAATCTATTTAACTTTACGCACTTGTTGTACTTTGTGACTGAACACTTACATCTTACCATATTGAAGCACTATCTTTGTTGCGGTTTTTCTTTTTTCTACGCACGCATTTTAATCGGGCGAATCAACCGTGAAACAACAATACACGCGGAGTGAACTTCGTATGTTTCCTATTTTGATTTGAGCCACCACTCCGGCGTGGTTTCAATGGTGGTCGCAAAATTTACTGCTGTTTGCGCCGGGCTTTTTTCTGGTTTGCCGGGTACGAAAGCAAATATATCAAAGGAGTTCATAAATTCAGCGCAACCGTCAACGAGCCAGCAATGTGCTAGTGCTGCCAAGGATAGGGATGTTGATCAGAACAAAGAGCTAGCATGGCCGGCGTACAAAGAGTATTTTTTGTGGTGAAGGTGGTTGCTAACTATTTGACCGCAGTATGCAAACTTTGCCTACAAGGAGTACTCCGACAACAAGTCTTCGTGTTCAAATCTGAGAAAACAGATACAGTTGAATTTTCGTCTTGATTCTTTTCGTAATATTAACTAATTTTCCAGCTAAATCATTAAGTTTGAATTTACCGCTATAGTGGAAGCGCGACTGATTCGTGTCTATATTTTTTTCTTTCAAACACCAGTTTTTCCTTAATTTTCGTGTTATAGAAAAGTAACTGAATATTAACGTCGTTACGTTTTGAAAATAACTGTAACTGTAACGAGTTACTCTTTTGTTGCGGTAACTGTAACGGTAACTTCGCTACTTTTTTCTGAAAGTAACTGTAACTGTAACGAATTACTTTTTAAATGTAACTTACCCATGACTGGCAAATGCGGCCAATATTGCTGTATAAAAGGTCAAATACTGCCATATATACCCGTTCACGACATATATGGGTAAAAATATAGCGGGCGAAAGGTCTTATGTACTCGCGAAGACACTAGTTGATTTATCTGTATTGCGTGAGTCCCATGTAATTGGTTTACCCTTGTTAACATCCTTAAGCTGAGGTTATTCCAAATATTTGGAAAAATTAATCAATTGCGTATGTTGAAGATTGAAAGAAACATAAAATTGGGTTGTATGTTTGACGTGTAACAATATGACGAAGTGCATAAGATCGGAAAGCGAGTTAATCAAATATTTGATTTTAAATCGCAGCTCTTAGGCGCCCGTTTCTGAGTTAGGTGGTGTCGGTGTCGCCGTCGGCGTCTGTGTAACCGCCCCGCTAAATTCAGCAGGAAGTTGAATTTGTGTTTAGTTCACGTGACGTCACTTTTCCCGCTAAATCTAGCAGTGAAACTAATTTTGTTCATGTTTCCCCACTAATTTTAGCGAGGATACATGAACCGTTAGCTTCTTGAAGATGCAAGACGCTACTTCGTCGTCGCGAATGCGTTTCCATTTGAACAGCTGCGAAGCCGTTGCGCCCTGAGTACCCCACGCAGCATGTTTCAGAAACCGTTCGCGCAGCATCGCAGTCTTCTGTTTGCGAGCGCCTGCGATTCATCGTGTGTTCAAAGTCGGAAGATGTGTTGCCCATGGTGCCTTTTATGTGTAACTCTTTCGTAGACAAAATTGAAGTTTAGAAACATGAATATAACAGTGTACACATAATTTTAAATTTATTGGTAAAAATATAATTATTTATTCATCTATTTATTTGTAGACATGAAGCACAAAAAAAAGTCACGCTTAGTTCTTGATTTAAAATTATAATGTAGGTTACACGGCGCAAAACATAGTATCTTCAAACTTGCATCGTTTTGGGTAACTTTTAGGTTAGACAGCTTCTTTGGAAGTTCAAAAGCTGGACTTCATAGAGCTGTCCTGTTCACTCGGTATTGTCAGAAGGGTAGACGCTATGCGTGTTTTAGGCCAATCGTGTCTAGGGTTAGGGTCACGTGCCTACAGTCTAAAAGCTGGTGATAAGCCAGAACACGACACCTGCCTCAAGCCCATGGCCACACATAGCATTCACTCCTCTATCAACTTTGGGTACAAGTGACAAATCCTCGCGTTATGGTCATTGTTGGGATCAGGACTAGGTCCTGTTTGGGTGCCCCTGAAGATAAGCCTTTTGTGTGTGCACTCCCGTTTTGGCCTTTCTATCTCTCATTTTCTCTCTCTCCTTAAGCTGAAAGCGTGGTAAAATGTATGCACTTGCCGAAGCAAACAGCCGTAGACTTTTTATCGGTTGACTCCGCTTTTTGTGCGCGTGAAATGGGAGAGGTGTGGTCCCGTGGTGTGATTGATGACGAATTAGCCGCTGGTAATTTCGGAATGCCTGCTGCCGGACCTAGTTTGGCGCGTGTTGCCCCCTGCGTGGCTGCTGCGGATTGTGCTTCTGTAGTAAATTAGAAAAGTCCTAACCGTTTGTCAGCAAGAAGCGATTTCTTCAAAGAAGCCCCAGAATTTTTTGTCGCGTGTTTAGTGCTCGGTTCCACAAATGCCAGCTTGTGCTACATCGTCTTGAATCTTCACGGACATCTTCCATCTCGTTTTTGTGTTTGAGGGGTTGTTAATTCTGCCCTGCCCGTGTCGACATATATTTCGGATTACACCTTTCAAGTCCGATCTCGTCAACGTAAGTGCGCTGCAACGTACTTCGCGATAATTGATGGCTGTGTCTATCCCCTGGAAGCCGGGAAAATAATTTCCCCGAAATTCTACTAGCAGTCGCCTGCTATTCGCCGTCTGAAATAATGCCACAACTGCAGGTAGAATACTAAATTTTTTATTCTCCCTGCGTTTTGTGATAACGCATTTCTCTGCCATCTTTTCGTGGATACACGTTTCATTGACACACGTTTCGTCGATATTGACGTTTTATCAAAGATTTGTTTCGCGAATGTCTATAATCCTGCTTTCCCTGGGAACCAAGTTGAGCGAAGTCCAGAGTGGCGTAAAGCAGCTCATGTAAAAATCCATAAAAGTTGGTTCATGCACAATATCCGATTGGTACTTTTCTTATACAGAAGAGAAGTCACTTGTGATAGATATTTGTAGAAACTAAACAATATATATAAAGGTTGTCTTATTTGATTTGGACATATCTGGCCTTATATGGCAGGCAGATACACCCCTAGTTAGCAGGCCTAGATATGGATATATACAAATTGGGCATATCTGGAAAGATCTGCTCTTTATAAACTGATATGCTTTATATGGCTAGATATGCCCAATGGCATATCTGGACAGAGATGCCATTTTTGTAAGGGACGTCAAAGTCTCCTTCAGCTACCGGCGTTATCGCGCCCGGAGCTTACGCAGCCGGCGCAGACGCGACCGTCGCGTACGAGCTTACGAGACGGCAGCTTACTCTTCACTTCAGCCACAAACGTTACGTAACCTTCTGAACG